CCAGTGAGAGCCACTTGGCTGATGTCCCTTTGCAGGGACAGCGTGCGCCGTGGTGCCAGCAGGTCCCAGGGAAATCCCAAATCCTGTCCCTGCGCCGAGGGTGCCAGCGGGGAGCAACCCAAACCCCCAACCCAGCTCCTGCTGGCACCAGAGCTGCCAAAAGGAGTGCCCAGGGCTGGAGCAGAGCCAAGCTCCTGGACAAAACGTCCATCCGTCCGTCTGTCCGTCCGTCCCAGAGCTGTCCGTGCCTCTGCCCCATCTCCCCACTTGGCAGCAGCTCCGCAGGAGGCGCGGGGAGGGAGGCCGGAGCTGCTGCAAGATGCTCCCGGGGTTGCGAAAGCTTTTGCACCGCCGCGGCTGCAGGGGAAAGGAGCCCAGCCCGGCCCTTCCCTCTCCCAGGGTGGTGGTGGGGATTGCAGGGGATATTTATTATTTTTTTTGGGGGGGGGGAGAGGATGAAGGGAAAGCTGAGAAAGGAGCCGTTCCCTCGCTCTTTGTGGGGAGGGGGCATCTCCAAATCCTGCCACGTGTCCCAGGAGGAGAGAGGCAGCGTTTGGTGCCCCCCCACAGCGGTGCTGCTGCTGCTGCTGCTTTTGGGAAAGGGAGAGGGAAGGTGGGGAGGGATTAGAAAAAAAATATATAGCAGCCAGCTGGTGAGCTGTGGAGTCAGCACGAGGCCCGCAGGACGCCGCGGCTGGCAGCGGCACGGGATCGCTGGCATTTTGGACAGCTGGGACGGCAAGGTCAGGCCAGCCAAAGGAAAAAAAACCTTTGCTCTCCCCCACCCCGGGCACGGCTGAAGGACGTTCGCCCCCAGACGCAGCCCCCAGCACCCCGGGGTGAGGAGGCAGAGGCAGCAGGGGGGGGGTTGGAGAGGGGCTGAGCAGCGGGACGGGGCGCAGAGGGCTGCGGGTTTCCAGCCCAGCTTTGCGCGCACCAAGTGCGGACAAACAGCCTGACCTCATCGGCAGGAAGAAGCAGGAGGCACATTTTCCCAGCCTTGTTTCTTTGTTCGCCATCTGGGAACGCGACCCAGCGGGAGGCCGTGCCCCAAGCCATGAAGTCATGGTCTGATTCTGGTGCCACCTCCGAGCCCTCACCGAGACCTCAGCCGAAACCGCCGGGTGCGGCTGTTCCCGAGGCCGCCCCCCAGGAGAAAGCCTCCCTCACCAAAACGTGGGGCGAGCCTCGCTGCGAACATCTCACACACACACACATATCGCAAACACCACGAGTTTATCCCCAAAAAGTTGGCTCAAAACCCCTTCGGCCTCATTTTGCTCTTTATCCGCTACAATCAGCGACGGCACAACCGGCGCGAGACGTAACCAGCCAAGGTTCCATCTCGCTGGCCCCAAAAAAAGCCCCAAAAAAAAGGTGAAAGCGAGACCTGCTCTGCCCCTCCACGCTCCCAGGAGCACCCCGGTGCGTGCCCCCCTCCGCAGCCCGCACACGGAGCCGCAGAAGCAGCCAGCTTGGCAGGGAAAGCGCAGCCGCTGGTGCTGGCACCTCACCCGCTTTGCCGGGAGATTTTTTTTTTTCTCCAGTTTGCTTCAAAACGAACAAAAGACGCACGGAAAACAGAGGTCCCCGACCCGTGACCCAGCCCGAGAGGTTTTTCTCCCTTCTCCTGCTGCCACGCACCTGGAGATCTGGGCCCTCCCCAGGAATTTGGCGCGGGGAGGAGGATCAGGCTTCGCCCTCCGCCTCCTGGCTTGGCTTTCGCAGCATCCTTTCTGCCTGCACTCCTCAGGACCTGGCAGGAAAGCTCTTTGATGTCTGCCCCAAACCTCTTTAAAAGGCCGGGGGAGGATGCTCCCAGCAGCTGGAGGCTCCCCTCGGGGTTCCCGTGGCACGGCCCTAAAGGAAGGGGCAAAACCCTGCAGGGATCGGGATCATCCGCACCGCTGTGGGGCTGGGGCCGGGTGCCACCCCACAACGAGAACCAGGGGTCCTCTGCCAAGCCCCAGAGCTGTGAATGCAGCAGGGAAAAGCTCAGCCTCAGGCTCTCACCTCGCCCAGACCCAAATCTCCTCCTCCTCCTCCTCCTGGGGCCGGGCTCCTCCTGGGGACACCCGCGGGTGGCGGCGGTGACACGAGGGCAGAGCCCTGCGGTGACAGCAGGCAGCGCTCCGAAACCCGATGGAGGATGGGGATGAGAGGAGGCAGCAAAGCCTCTTAAGGAGCGGGATTTCCCCAGGTGCGGGGTCGGCAGCACCTGGAGGCAGCAGGAGCGGCTCTCCCCGAGCCACAGCAGGGTGCGGAGCCCCCCCAGAGGGTTCAGCCAGCAAGCAGAGAGCAGTGGGTGCTGCTCGGTTTTTGGTGAGCTCGGAGCAATTCCCCCCGCACCTGCCTGGCTCTCACCGTTTTTAAGGCACCCTCCAGCAGCACCACAGCCCCCCCAGATGCAGCAGCCCCCCCAAAATGAGGCAGCCCCCCAAATTCCCCTTGCAAGGGGCAGAGCTGGATGCGCTCTCCTGGTGCGCACCTCAGAGGGGACCGAGGGTGGCAAGCCAGCAGACACCCACACCGACCCCAATCCGCCCTACAATCCCAAATCCACCCTACAAAAGCCAAAAGCAGGGGCTGTGACAGCCCCAAGGAGCTTGGAGATATCCAAGAGAGGCTCCTTGAGCAGGACCTGGCCCCCCCTGCTCTCCACCTCCCCACCAGCAGCAGAGGCACCAGCCCAGCCCACTAATGAGCTGCCTGCCCCCTAATGAGCTCCGGGTGCTGGGTTCCCTCGTTAGCAGCTCCAAGCTGCCCCAAAAAGGACCCAACCTCCACGGGGACATCTGGCTGCAGTTACCCCGTACCAGATCTGGGGTCCAGACCCAAAACCAATGGGGTCAGCCAGCTGCGGGCAGGGCAGCAGCAAGCCACCAGCTCTGGGTGCAGGGGGTGTCCGTCCTGGGCATGGGAAATAAAAAAAAAAACATGAAGATTTGGTAAAAAAAAAAAGCAGCAGAGCTGCGAGGAGGGGCAGGGCGATGGGTTTAGCCCCCTGGTCCAGCGGGATCCTGCCTGATTCCACGTTAACGGGGTGGGAAGGGCGTAAAGGTGGGGAGGGAGACGGTGAGAGGACCCCAAAAGTGCCCCCCAGGACTTGGAAGAGCCCCAAAAACCGAAGTGGTGCCTGCCCTCCCCAAGCAGCTCCTGCACGGAACAAGAGGGAGGAATTGAATGGCATCCCCTCCCCAGGACACCCTGGGCGTCCTCCTCCTCCTCCCCCTCTGCCCCTCCTGACCCCACACAAAAGCTTTTCGGAGCTGCTCGGGTCACACACGGGGCTGCAGGCAGGAGCCAAGGGGAAGTTTTGGGGTTGGGGACGAGGACACGAGGATGCGTGTCCGGGAAATGCCCGGCTCCAGGGGAAAGGGGCAGGAAATCCCCGAGCACCAAATGCTGGAGTCCGAGCTGGGGCAGAGCCGCTCAGGACCAGCACGGCCACCAGCACCACGTGCCCACACTGTGGCCTGGGGACCCTACAGGGACAGGGGTGGGAAATACCCGCTGGGGACAAGTGGATCCCATTCCCTTCACCGCCTGCACCCTCCCGGCCCCTTCTGGAGCAGCACCCTGGGGTGGGCACCCCTCACCTGGATCCCAAACCCTCTGCGGCCACTGGACAGCATGGGGTGAGTGCCACCAGCTCCTGGACAGACAGACAGATGGACAGAACAGCCACAAGCACGACCCCAAAAGCATCCTGGCTCCGGCGTCCCGCGAGCCTCCACCTCGAAGCCCTGCGCGCTGCGAGTTGCATCAGCTGGGAGCAGCCCCCCAGGAGGGCGAGCTTGGGAATGAACCATCCTCGTCCACAAGCGAGCCACCCCGATGGATGAGCAGCCCGGCTCAGGCCCCCATGATGAGGGGAAACCTCCTGAAGGCAACGGGTTTCCAGAGGATTCCCCTCGCCGGTGCCAAGCCCACCTCCCGTGCCATCCTGGCACGGCCGCGCCCACCCTCGGGGTCCCGGCGGGGTCCCCCTGGCACGGCCGGACACGGAGCCACGAGGAAATTATTTTTGTAATAATGGGGCAGGGGAGAGCAGGAGAGCAAAGGAGCGCTGCCTCGGGAGGGCTGTTTTGCATTTCTAAAGAAAATGCCAGCGCTTCGGAGAGCCGCGGGGTTCTGGCTCCGAACGGAGCCGAAAGGCTTTGAAAAGTAATTTGGGGATTTGGGATGCTGGTATTTTACAGAGCCCGGTCTGGGGCCTGGCCTGCAGATAGAGAGCAGCTGCTCTCCAGGAGCCACGCTCCCACGAGCTGGAGATTCGGGGTAGGAGCAGCAGCTTCCCCGTCCCACCAGAAAGGCGAACTCCGAGGGAAATCTTTTTTGCTCTTGGCGCAACTTCCCAGGCGGTGCCCCCGTGGCGCCCCGCGTAACCCCGCTGGGCTCGCCCCCGAGCCTGCACATCAGCCTCCCAGCTGCAGGAAGGGCTCGGGTTTCTCCGAGAGGAAACCCTTTGATTCGGGCGCCCTATAAAACCGGAGATAACTCGGGAAGTTTCCTCGGCGGCGCAGGCTGGCTGCGCGCTCCCCTCGGCCGGAGGAATTTCCCGAGGATGCCGGCTGCGGCGGGCACGGGCAGCCCGCCCTCGGCTCCCTGGTTATCCCGGACTGCGGGCGGTACAAGACCAGGATTTCCTCCGTTCTGGCCACCTCGGAGGACAAACAACCCCACCTCCTTCACGCGGGGCTCCAAAAGAGCCGGCGCCAGCAGCGCAGATATATGGTTCTGCAAGCGGACAGGTCTTGGCTCTCCCGAGCCTCTTGGAAGGGTTTTGATCCGTTCCTTGTCGGCTTGAGGGCTCCAAAAGTTCATTGCTAAAGGCACCCCATCCCTTAGCGCTCACCCCTCTGGGACTGAACCCAAAAGGAGAGCATCCATCTGTGGCACCACCCTGCGTCCCGCTCGGTGCCAGAACCATCCCAGCAGGGGGAAAGGGGTGGGGAGGGAGAGGTGGGGAGGGAAGGTTTCGGGTCCCAGTGCCTTACCTTGGGGAGCAGAGCCGGGGGCGCAGCAGCCAAAAGCTCCGGGGGGGCCACGCTCTTGCCGGCCAGGACCACGGCCCCGCAGTCGGCACAGGCGCCGATGGTCAGCTGCTTCCCGTCGTCCACCAGCAGGCTGTTGGCCACGCGCAGGGTGTAGAGGAAGACGGGGAGCCGGGCGACCTGCACCGCTTTTAATCCAAGGCATCGCTTCTTCTCCTGGCGGCAGAAGAAGCAGACGAAGGTCTCCACTTTGTACTGCCGCGACCAGGCGCTGCTGGGGTGCTGGGAGTTCCTGCCCTCGTGCTGCAGCCACTGGCCCAGCAGGTCGTGGTAGCACAGCACGCAGGTGGCCACCAGCCCTGTGGAATCGGCCGGCCGGGCCCGCGGGGCGGGCGGGTAGACGGTGAGGAAGGGGAAGAAGGGCTCCTTCTCCCCGAAACGCCCCGGCGGGTTGACGTTCAGCTGGAACTCCTTGCCTGCCCCCAGCTCGGCCCCGCAGATGTAGCACACGGAGCCGGGGCCCGGCTTGCCGCCGGGGTGGCCGGCCAAACCGCCGGGCTCTCCGGCGGAGAAAACCTGGTGGTACCTCCCCAGGAAGCTCTGCACCGAGGCGATGAGCTCCTCATTGTGGCACGCCCTGTACATGGCCCACAGGTCCTGCAGGACCCCGTAGCACTTGCGGCAGCTGCTCACCTCCCAGTGCTTGTTCAGCCCCTTGGCACCGGGCGGGCAAGGCAGGAGGCTGAGGAAGGGGAAGTGCATGGTGCTCTTGGCGTTGCCGTTGGTGATCTTGGCCGCCACCGGCCTCGCCTCCTTGCCGCACTCCTCCCCGCACAGGTAGCAAGCTTCGGGTGCTGTTGGCACGCTCGCTCCATCCTCCTTCGGCCCTCGGTGACCCTTTGGGGCCACGGCGGCGGCGGCGGTGGCGTTGAGGGGCACGACGTAGAGCCGCTGCAGCACCGGCACGTTGGCCAGCTCGAAGCTCTGCCACTGCTGCATGAGGGAGGCGAAGCAGCAGGGGCACACCAAGGTGCTGCCGGCCGGAGAGAGGGGCTGGGCGCCCGGCGGGGGGCTGTGAAGCCAGAGGAAAGGGAAGAAAGGCGCCGGCGAGCTCCTCTCCTGCTTCTGCACGTGGACGCGGTGCTGCCCGCCAGGCGCCAAGGGGCTGCCGCAGATGTAGCAGGCGGTGCCCGCCGCCCAAGCGGGCCGCCGGCCTTCCTCCTCCTCCTCCTCTCCCTCCTCCTCCTCCTCTTCCTCCTCCTCCTCGCTGGTGATGTTGATCTCGCTGTCCTCCGACGAGCAGCACGGCGGCCCCCGCTTGCCCCCAGCCGCCGGGGGGGCCCTGCCGGTGCCTCCCGGCCCCTCGACCTCCGACAGGGGTTCGGCGTCGGACAGCTCGGAGAGCTCGGAGCCAGCCGCCGGCCCTTCGTCCTCCTCCTCCTCTTCCTCCTCCTCCTCCTCCTCGTCTTCCCGGCGTCCCGGAGCCGCGGCGGGGTCCCAGCCCGGAGCCCCCCTGCGCAGCCCGGTGCCCCCCGGTGCCGCTTCGCACTGGTGGGGCCGCTTGAGCCAGTACATGCGCTTCTCCACCGGCGTGCGGCTGCGCTCGAAGGAGTCCCACTGCTCGCCCAGGAAGCAGCGGCACACGGCGCACACCAGCGCGCAGCCCTCGGCGGAGACGGCGCGGGCGCCGGGCGCCGGCTCCTGGTGCTGGAGGAAAGGGAAAAAGGGCCGGTGGTCGCGGGGGGGCCTGACTTGAAGCTTCAGCTCCTTGCCGCGGCTGATGCCGCCGCCGCAGATGAAGCAGCAGAGAGCCGGAGAGGGGCTCGCCGGAGCTCCGGCGGCCGCCGGGCCCCCCTCGCCGGCCGCCAGCGCGGCCATCAGGCGCTGCTTGCGGGAGAGCGGCGCCGCCGCCGCCCCCGGCCCCGCCGAGCTCATCGCCGCCCCCGGCTCATCCCGCGGCTCCGGCGGCCACGCAGGCTCGGGGGGCGGGTTTGCCCGGCGCGCCCCCCCCCGTGCGCGCACACACACACACAAGGCGCACACACACACACACGGCACACGCGCGCACGGGGCGCACACGCAGAGCGCACACACACACACGGAGCTGCTGCCGCCCCCCCCGGCCGCAGAGGGGGAAGATATAAAGGGAGGGGGGAAAGGGGGAAGGGGGGGGAAAGTTGGAAGGGAGAGGGGTTGGGAAATTTGGGGGGGGAAGGGGAGGAAGGGGAGGGAAAGGGGGAATGGGAGAGAAAAGGGGGAATGGGAGAGAAAAGGGGAAGGGGGGGGAAGAAAAGGGGGAAGGAAAAAGGAGGGGGGGTGGGAAAAGAAAGGAAAAAGGGGGTGAAAAGGAAAAAGGGGGAGAAAGGGGAAAAGGGGGAGAAAAGGGAAAGAGGGAAAGAAAAGGAGAAGAGGGGAAGAAAAAGAAATAAAAGAAAAAAAGGAATGAAAAGGAAAGAAAAAGGAAAAGGGGAAAGAAAGGGAAAAAGGGAAAGAAAAGGGAAAGAAAAAGGGAAAGAAAAAGTAAAAGAAAAAAGGGAAAAAGAGAAAGGAAAAAATGGGGAAAATGAAAGAAAAAGGAAGGAATAAAAGAAAAAGGAAAAAAAAAAAGAAGAAGAAAGGAAAAAAGAAAAAAAATAGTAAAAGGAAAAAAGGAAAAAGAAAAAGTAAAAAGTGAAAAGTAAAGAAAAAAGGGAATAAGTAAAAAGAGGAAAAAGTAAAAAGGGGAAAAAGAAAAAATGGGAAAAAGAAAAAAGGGGGAAAAAGCAAAAGAAAAAAGGGGAAGAAAAAAAAAAAAAAAGCAAAAGTCAAAAGAAAGGAAAAAAAAAAAAAGCCCTAACGAAATAAATAATTAAAAAGCCACCGGCGCGGGATCAAAAAGTTCGCAGCGAGCAGTTGGGGTCGGGCCGCAGCTCAGCCCCCGCCCGGCCCCTCCCCGGCCGCCCCCCCCCCCCCCCCGCCGAGATCTGCCCGGGGGGGCCCCCCCTGCCCATGCTGGGACCCCACGGGGGGGCGTCCGCAAGCGCAGCCCACGGGGCTCGGAGGGGTCCCGACATGGTGGGGGGGTGCTGGGGGGGTACACAGCGAGCCCCCCCCTGGGGGGTGTCAGTAATTGAGCCCGTGTGGGGTCCCCATGCCTCGTTCCCCCCCTGCACCCCGTCTTTGTACCATGGCGCTTGGTGCAGCGCACCCCAAAAGTGGCACCATGGGGGGGACGGGTCCCACGGGGGGGGTAATGTCCCAAGGGGGGCACTGTGCCCTATGGGGGGGCTGTGCCCTATAGGGTGCTGTCCCCTATAGGGTGCTGTGCCCTATGGGGACCCTGTAAGTCCCATGGGGGCCGTGTCCCCCCAGATGTCACCAACACCACCGCGCACCCGTCCTTCTTAACCGGGCACCCCCACAGCAGGCCGGCCCCGGTAATTTATTTCCCATTTCAAAGCCCGGCCGCCGTTCCAGTTCGATACCAGATCCCATTTCCCCCTCGATCCTAAAAACGCCGCAGCGCCTCGCTGCTCGCTGCTAAATAGCTGCTGTGTTCTCCGCCGGAGCTGGCCGCCTTTCAGCCAGGCGTGCGATCACCCCGCAGCCTCCCTACCTGCCTCCCAGCCCGCCGGCAGCTTTTAGTGCTGCTCCAGCATTTTGCTGTCCTTGGGCAAGCTGCGCCCGGGGCTTAGGGAGCGAAAAAACCCTATAAATATAGGGATATTAAAAAAAAAAAAACTATAAAAATTAGGGATGCTTGACGCATGTTCATGGCACGTCACCGCAACGGTGCCTGGGTTGGCACGGAGCTCCCCGCTCCTCGCCACCCTCGGGGCCACCCCACAGCATGGTCCTGGCCCCCAAAAGTGGCCCTGGAAGCGGTGCCGTGCCCCCCCCAGCTCAGCCAGCCCTCGCTGTCACCCCCCCGGCCCGTCCGACGCCCGCCGGCAACTGGCCGTGAGATCAAAGGGCTCGGGGGGCATCAGCTGGAGCGCGGGCAGGGGGCACGGGGGGCTCTTTGGGGACGGGGATCCAGTTTCCAGGCAGATGGCTCCGGCAATAAAGACGTGGCGGTGGCGGGGAGGCGACACAGAAGGGGGGAACACGATACCCCGGGGGGGAACGGGCTGCGCGGGGTGGGTTTATTTTTTATTTTTTATTTTTTATTTTTTTTCAGGGTGCTCCAGCAGGCAGCGGGGGCCTCGCTGTGGTTTATTTATTTATAGGGCTGATGTTGCGGCTGCTCTATGCGGCGCGTGCTGGGAGTGCTCTTTAAAGGTCTCCCAGCATCGCCCCTTCTCCTTGGCACCCCGCGGCCAGCACCGTGGGGCTCCCCCCTCACCGTGGTTTTTTTTTAGGGTGCGCGCTTTGAGACCCACCAGGATGGGACCCCCGCCCGGGAAAAGCCCCCAGGCAGCAGCAGCGGGTAAGGGAAGGCTTCAGCCAGCCCTTCAGCCTCCACTTCTGCTCCCTGTGGGTTTTTCTGTAGGGAGCAGGGCTCGGGGCTGCCCCCCCCTTGCCCAGCCGGAGCCCCGCTCCCCCCCGGTGGGCTCAGCCCACCCCCAGCGCGGGGCCGACAGATGCTCCCCCGCCTGCGCCGCAGATGGGCGAGGAAACAACGCGCTGCATTCACGGACCCCAGGCCGGAGCCCTCCTCCTCATCCCATCCCCAAACCCCCTCCATACAACTTTCTGCCCCCCCCCAAGCCTCTCCAGGGGGGGTACAAGCCCCCTGGCTCCCCCCCCCACATCCCGGCGGGGCGCAGCCTGCCTGGGAGCAGCTCCCCGGGCTTTGGCTGCGCGGGGACAGAGCAGCTCATTTATCATCCACCGCCGCCCCGGCCCTGCGGTCGCTGTTTTTTTTTTTTTTTTTAATTTTTTTTTCTTTTTTTTTTTTTGCAACAGAGAAGCTGGGAGGGAGAGAGAATTTCTCAAGTCGGCCCCGGCAAGAACTGAAAACATATGCCCTGGCGGCAAACACGTCCCCCGGGGCGCGCGGCGATGGAGGCGAGCCTGGCGCAGGATTTTCCACCGCGGCTCCCCCCTCGTGCGCCGGTGCCGGGGAGGGTCCCCGTTGGATCCTGAGCTTTCAAAGCCACCCCAAAGCTGGGGATGGGGTCTGCAGCCCATTTCCAGCGCCGTCGTGTCCCCTGGCACGAAGGCAAAGCCGAGCGAGGCGGAGCTGGGCGGCCTCCGCGTGGCCGCGTTGCATCAGGGCTGGGGAGCGGGCGCTGGTTGTGCAAGGTGCTGAGCAAACAGCCCCCGGGGGCCAGGCAGCCCTGCCAGCCCCCCCCCAGCTTGCATCAGGAGAATTTTGGCCGTGCCAGCAGCCCGCACGCTGCTGGAGCCACCCCGTGTCCCCATCCCCGTCCCCATCCGTGCCCGGCGGTGCCCGCTCGGTGGCCAAGCTGCCGCGGTGCCCTCGCGGGGAGGCACGTGCTGCAGCTCCCCGGCCCCAGGACCCGGAGGTTAATATGGAAATTACCAACTGCTTATTCCTTCCAGCTGTTGCTGTGAGTCATCGAGTGCCTTAAAGAGCATTTCAAACAACGCAGTGCCTTCGAGACAGTGTGACTGCTCCCCCCTCCTCCCTGCCACCCCCTCCGGATAATCCTCCGCGGGGTCTGCTGGCTGTAAAGGGGGAGATTTCTCCCAGGAGGTGATTCCCAGCCCCGCGTGGCTCACGGGGGCAGAAGAGCAGCCCCTGGGCTCCCACCTCTGCCGTGGGTTCCCAACAGAGGGGAAGGGGTCGGGGGAAATCGCCCCGTGCCGGGCTGCGCCACGGCACCGGCATGGGAAGAGCCTCAGGGGACAGCAAGCACCCGGCACTAAAATCACCCTGGGAATTGCTGCAGTCCCAAAATTGTCCCAAAGTCCCTTGAAGGGCTGCCTGGCACAGCTGGGTTCGCTCGGAAAAACCCCATCACCCCCATTAAAAACCCACCAGGGACACACAACCAGATGCAGGGGGGGGTGCCGATCCCCTCCGTGCCACCCGGGGAAACTGAGGCAGGCGGCTCGCCCAGGTGGCCAGCCCCGGTGTCACCGTGTCACCTGCCCGGGGTGAAGCCAGCAGCGTGGCCACCACGGGACACGGGGCCATCGGCCTGAGGTTCAGCGACCTTGAACTCTGCGCTCAACAGCTGTGTTTTCCTCTGCAAACTTTATTTTTTTAATTTTTATTTTTTTAAAGGCCGGACTCTGCACTCTGTTGGTGCTGCTTTCCAGGTGGATGGAGCTGCTTTATTAACATTTTTAGGATGTGTCCTTTATCTGCTGCTCTAAATGTTCCGTGTCCTGTTTTTTTTTACTTTCCTAAATGATTATTTTAATTAATCCTTTTGCTGGAGAAGCCCCGCCGGGTTCTCCCCTGCTTCTAAACCATTCCCCGCTCCTTCAGCAGCCTCGCAGGTGAGTCAAGGATGCTCTCAGCCAAGATCACGGCTGGCGCGAGCAGGAACATCTGCTGCCTCTGCGCTTCTTGGAGCCAGAAATAGAAAGGTGGGGGAAAAAAAAATAAAAAAAAAAAAAGCCCCCGGGTCCATCCTGAACCTTGGAGCAGCAAAACCACTGCAGCCCCGTGAGCGCTGCCAGGACGCTGCGGCGAGGAAATCGCTGCTGCGTGGGGGGGACACCAGGGACTTGTCACCATCCGAGGAGGAGTTTTGGGGCCAGGGGAGCAGGGAGGTGTGTGTGTGTGTGCCTGGGCGTGCGTGGAAGCAAAGCAGAGGTTTGGAGCCCCCACCAGCACCCACCTCTTAGCCCCCTGGGGTGCTTCGCCCCGCGGCACCGCTCCCTGCGAGGCACCAGAGAGCCGCTTCCCCCAGCATGGCACGAGGGCTGGGCTGCATTTTTTTTTTTAATTAGAAAAAAAAAAAAAAAACACTTTTTTTTTTTTAAAAAACTTTCCAGAACGAGCTGCTCTGCAAATGCCAAGCGCCGATGCCAAAGGGCCGTGTCAACAAAGAAGAATGAGTGTGGCTGTTAGAGGCTGCTATTAAAAAAGGGTGGAGAGGAGAGAGAAGGGAGGGGGAAAAGGAAAAAAAAA